AATTTTTGGCATTACTACTTCACATAAAAACCCTTTAAACCCTGGATTCCTGTGGGTGTAGCGTGAGAAGTTTTTAAAAAATCGCAGAAGAAGCTTTTCTAAAAGGCTCCAATCTGTGCTTTTTTTGTTTAGTTTCTAATTTCTCAAGTTTCTCAGAGGTGGAGGAAACTTAATGTGATTATTTGCTATGCATGTCGAGTCATCGGGTGTCGCCGGGCCGGGCCGGGCCGCTCATCCATTTTAATATCCCCCAGCAGTCTGAGTTGACAGTGAGCACTGCTGAACCAAACCAAAACTAAACTGAACTAATCATTGCCAATTCTCCTTGCCCTACAAGGCTCTCGCCTGGTCTAATAAAACTGCCACATTTAATTTCCGTCTGCCAAAAGGTGGCAAGTGAAGATGGAATGATAAGAGCTGATTAGTAGGAAGTGAGCCAGCTTGACAGGGATGGATTAAAGTTTGGCCGGTCAGAGGTGCAAGTGCGCAGACATCCATGGCAACGCTTTGAATGCAAATTGTTATTAACGTCGTAGCTCTCACAAAGGAGTTTTTTTATATGTCAATGTTTCAGCTGTTTAAATTCTTAGATGTATCAAAAAGTTCAAAACAGGTTTTCTAAAACATTGCAGTTTTTTCCCTTGAACTTCAGTCAGATCTTTTTACCTTCCCTTTGATTGGCACAGCCCTCCATTTCTCAAAAGCAGAACTTTATATATAGCTTCTAGCTGAAATGACAGTTCTTGAAGAATATTACTAGATACAAGGTGTTTTGATAAGATCCCAGTGGTAATGCCAATGGATATTTTTCTCCCTTTATGCTATATTTGACAGAGCTAATGTGGTTTTTCTTAGGTTGGTGTATATTTGTAGGAGGTTATGTTTTCCCCAGAAACATTCATTTCCCCTCACGGTTCCACAGCTGGGTGTGATTGTTCGTTCATTTTTGTATCAGCAGCCTCTTTCCGTGTCCCGGCTGTTTACTCCTTCATTTCCATTTCCTGTGTCTTTTACTGATTTCACACAGACTGATCTGTTTCGTCAGGGTTGGCTTTGCTCTCGGTTCTTGTTCTCAAGGCTGGATATGCTTACTTGAGTTTTCCACTTAAAGTTTCTCACCTGATAACTTTGAAGGCAGCAGAAAAAAACGTATGACCATGTAGTATGGCTAAGCACGGTTCTAGGTTGTTTGGTTTGATCTGTTCCAACCCATCCATCCATCTATCGGATATATCCAGTTATTTTCTTAGGGCCACAGAGAGCTGGTCCCCATCTCCAACAGTAATTGGTCGAGAGACGATGTACACCCTGGACAGATCACCAGTCTGTCACAGGGCAACATAGAGATTACACAAGACATACACACGCTCACATAAGGGTAATTTAGAGAGATCTATTTCCCTGATCGTCACGCTTTTGGACTGCAGCAGGAAGCCTGCATTCAGAAAGCACATGCTGAGATTTTAACCCAGAAAGCTCCCAACTTTATTTTTTATTTTGTGGATTGTTTTGAAACGAAGATGAAGCAGCTCTGCTCTTTTCTACATTAATAGTTAATAATCATGACTGATTCATATTGAAATATTTTATGCAAATGGTCTCTATAGTAACAAAAATTGCCTAAAAGGCTTGATTGTATTATTTTGACTTGCACATTGCGTGTAAGTTGTATTTGGTTGGTTGTTTTTCTGAAAAGGACTTTAGTTTCAGCTGTTGAAATACTTGAGATTCAGCAAAGTATTTAAACAGCTCTTTTTGCATATAAGCACGCTGCGTACACAAGCACGACTGACCGTGGTAAGACCCTCCTCCTGGCTCTGATTGGTTGTTTCTGGGAGCGGTGTATTTCTGCAGATGGCAGTAGGACCACTGAGAGGACATGTAGAAGCTTGGGTTTTTTTCAAAGATCATCTGGCTCATATTCTATCAGGACATAGAGACAGTTTTGACAAATAATAAAAATATTTTTATAACAGTTATTTCTAAGAAAGAAAGCTGATGCTTAAAAAAAAAAGTTACGCCTTCAAGCATTCAGCCTTCAGCTGTTCACAAATGAAGTGGAGAAAGGCTTTATTGAAGACTTGAGCAAACAAACATTTGGCCATAGTCAAGCATTATTCTTAAGGTCTTTGTTGCTGCTATTGACATTGCACAAAGTGGATAAAATAATGGTAAAAGAGAAAATACCTTGAAATTCCTCTTACAATCAAGTCCAGAGGATCTCAGTGACAGACACTGAACCAGATATGATCAAGGATGTAAATCGTTTTGGCCCTGAGTGGATTAGAGCAAATTCACCATAATTCCTATGTGTGTACCGTAAGTAATAAATTCTTGAAGTTTATGTTGCGCAATCATTTCGCAGCAAAACACAGCGGCTGCAGTAACTCATAGCCAGTCCCGTCTTGATACGACTTTTATTTTAATGAATTCATGTAAAACTAAAAAAAGACTCCATAAAATACCTCCCCTCCCTCTACATAAACGAGAAAACGTCTCCCGCTTTATTTGTTCCACCTCTGTATTTCCTTGGCTTCCTGTTTTTAAATCGGGCACATTTCAAATTATTCACTCTCATTGTGGGCTTAACCGTAAAAGTGAAAATGTAAGCGCTATGGGTCTCTGATAATGGATTGTTAAAAAAACAAGAACAGGAGGCATCAGCTGTATTTATCATAGTCGGCAGAGAAACTATGATCAGAATGGTTCTCAACAAATTATCACAATTGCTACATCATTTATGGAATATCCTCAGTTGTACGCACAAATTTCCTTGATGTCATCTTTTTTTCAAGTTTGGATGTCAAATTAAGATTTCCTGCATTAAAGTGTGCTGAAAGTAAATTGATTAAAGTTTCTAGAGAACAAAGTCCCTATTAATCTGATTTTCATCTCATTTGCTGGAGAAGAGCTAAATTTAATGTTATTTTTTCTAATGGGTTATAAATTGAAAGGCAGAGCCAGGGATTTTACTTTGCTGGCTTGTGTTTTATCTTTGTCTGATGTTATTGCTGGTTGTGTGTGTGTGTGTGTGTGTGTCAAACTCTAAACTCAGAGCTAGAGGAAAGGAAAAGAAATAAAATCAATAAAGGAGTCGCATCTAGCGCAGTGTAAACATTTCATTGTTCAGCACAGACACAACACAAAGCTCCAATTATTTACACCCCTTCTCATGTATTCTGTCTATGATGCAGAAAGAATAAAAAACTCCAAAAGAAAGATATGGCAATTTAGGAATATAAATATAAATGCTTTGTAGTTTTGCCACAGCGCTACAGAAAAATGTTCCCTCAGTTCTGCTGTATTTTATTCCCACACCCCACGACTTTTTTTTCCCCTCATCCTTCTGCATGAAAACTGTGCCTTTAATCTATATCACCTGGCTGTTTGTACATGCAGGTAACTCTCCTTCAGAGGAGTCTGAGGAGCGGGACAAGGAGCCCAGGACGTTGACTTACCCGGCGTACATCGCCAGCCTCCTGGACACGGGCGCCAAGCGCATGGCGGCCGGTGTCAGGATGGACTGCAACAGCCAGGGCCAGTGCCCGCGCTCCTGCCACCTCTGCCACATGAGTCCCAGGGCGGCACAGGGGCGGCAGCAGTCTGAACCCGTCCTCCTGAAAATCACCAAAGCTGCTCCCATCTATGAATTAGTGTCCAACAACGAAACCTATCAGGTTTGTGGAATGTTTTCTTTTTTTTTCCTGATTTTTCTCAGTGCCATACTTTGAACGTTCAAAAGACCTATTTTTGCACAACTTTTATTTTTCCACTAAGTTCATATTTATCCTCCCCAGAAATTGATTTGTGTTTCCAGAGTTGAAGAAAAATTGCCCTCACGGTCTCCTACTTCTGTCAAATTGTTGTATTTTGCACTTTGATGTGCAAAGGCTTTTCCACGCCTTCGAATCTGAGCTGGAACTTTATGCCTAAAGACAGCATTTAATAATCCAGGCATGAGGACGGCTGCATGATCATTAAAACCACACTGAGTCCATCAGCTGGCTCCCCGCTATGCAGCCTTCTATGTGCATAACAGTATGTGTGACATCCCAGACCTTAAGCCCTCATTAGGAAACACAAAGAACCTACCAGGGAAGCATTTCTCTTTCAGTTTCACACCTTGCTCTTTGGAAAGCATGCCATGCCGCGGGGCTGCCGGGCTGTTCTGTGACTTATTTGATTCCATCAATATTGTACGTCGAAAAAGCTTCTGCTCCTGCAGGATGAAGAAGCGGTCGATATCGGGGCTGTACATGTCTGAGAGCCTTTATCGCCAAGCTCAGTCGGACAGACACAGCTGCTATTGATGGAAACTTCTGAAATTATTGGTGTAGACACTCACCAAGACAAAACACAACAGCTCCAATTTGATTGAATATTTCTGTATGTTTAGTTGTTTTTTTTTCTTTTACTGCCCATTACAGCACAATTTATAAAAAAAGGTGTAATTTGTTCCTAAATTAGTCACGTATTTACACACGATTTTTAGTAAGTGGGCTTCAAATTTGCTCTTGCAAGTCACCTGCTACGCTTTTTTCAACTCAAGTAAACTTTTGACTCCAACAAAGTTGTTGCATATTTCTGTTTGCATTGCCCCACAAAGGTATTCGTACATTTTCACATTGCAGCCGAAAACTTAAATTAATTTTCTTGTGATCGAGCAACACCAGGTACTGCACTCCCCTTCTGTTTGACACACCCAAATAAAATCCAATGAAATCCTGCTGCTTTTATTTCAAGACCTGAAATGTATGTTGAAATTTCTGCTTTCCCTGCAGTCTGACAGAGCTGCAAGGAAAGACAATTGGGCCGAGCGTTCAGTCTCTAGATGTGCAAAGCCGGTCGAGACACTCGGCGTAAGACTTTGTAGAAATGCAGTTTTACAAATTGTTAACTCAGCGGGAATGAAAGACAAATTCACAGCCCGCTTTTTAGATAATTTACTTTAAATAATGAAAACAATTTATTCTTTTTTCTCATATGAGTATAAACGTCTGTAAATCAGAGCTCAACTGAGATATGCCACTATGCATAAACTGTGTTTACAGTGATAATAAATTTGTTGAAATGACCAATTAACAGGACGTTTAAGTTGCTCTCTCGTCCCAACTCCAGCTATCTCGGCTACAGTATGTCTCACAGCCTTGGAATCTGCACATTACCCATAAAACCTAACGATAAACAACCATATATGTCTGGCATATATTAGTAATTGCTATTAAAATTAAGGCTGTGTTTGCCTCGCCTCTAATCCTCGGCTTTCTCGTCCTTGCAGGCTCTCCAGGACGCGATGATGAGCATGCTGTGGTGCTCAGGCAAAGGCGACGTTATTGATGACTGGTGTCGATGTGATTCCAGCGCGTTTGGTACAGATGGACTGCCCACCTGTGCCCCGCTTCCTCAACCCATGTTAGTGAAACAACATTACCTTACCTTTCAACCCACTCGGAAGGGATGTGAGAAATGCCATCTGTCATTTTACCAGCAGAAATCAATCTCCTTCCGGCGCGGACTCGAGCAATGTGCCATCAGCCTCTGTGGATACTCAATATTTAATTGCGCCCAAACGTCACAACGATCAATGGTTTATTCCTCCTGTCCGCTGAGGGTGTTGCTATTCAATTAAACAAACTGGTGTATATCGATTGGCTGCCAGGGCAACCCGTGTATACAAAATTCTTGGTGCTTCGTACGGCAGCGCCGAACGTCCACTCTAGAGCGAATCAGACGTTGGGAGACAAACAGCCCGACTTTCTCCTCCAACAGCAGTGTTTGTGATCGTGTTTTTATTTAGCTCGCAGGTGTGTGAATCAGGAAGGGTGATGTTGGCTGTCAGTTGCGGTAAAAGGTCTCCACGTTGACAGGACGCTTCACGGCGGCGCCCGTTCTCCGTCTTTGTCCCTCTGTTACCAGGCTGAAGCTGTCTTACACCTACGAGCCCAGCAGCTCATTGGTCATCATGGAGTGGAACCACACGGAGCCACCAATCGGCATACGCATCGTCGACTACCTCATCAGCCAGGAGAAGGTGACGGAGAGGACGGACCACTCTAAACTTGAGACAGGTACGTCGCTTTAGAGCGGCCATAAATAAAAGTCACCGGCGGAAAGATTGTGAGGTATATTCACATTTCCATGGACGCAGTGAGAGTTATTTATGGGACATGAATCGTGAAATCCGTCAGAAATCGCCACCATTATTTGCTGTAGCACAGGGGTTTCAATACAATGATCCATTTCTACACTCGCTCCTACAAAATAAAATCCATCTACAGCCACAAAACCTACAGAAGCCAACCTCTTTATCCACCAGGTGTTTTGATAGAAAATTTAATTAAAAATTAAAAGTTACTTTTTAACGTGGATCATTTTGTTTTCATTCAATAAATACATTTTCATTAACAGATGGATATGTCTATGCATCTTCAGTTATGCTGATAATGACAAAATAAAAATAGTGTTTGTCGTAACACATCTTGTGACAGTTAATAATATTTCATGACCCCTGGAAAAAAAAATAGGGATATACGACATTTTTTTATACACACAAACCATGTTGTATTTTGGTATTAAAGTTCCAAAATAAAATGTACTTAACTGTTCCATAATTGAGAAAAGAAAAAATAGGAACATGTATTGCTTTCATAAAGACCTGAATATGCCCTTTGTTTTTGTTTTTTTATAGAAAAACAAAGAAAAGCCTGCTTGAAAAAATGAAATGACATAATTTCCAACTAAATGACATAATACTAGTAATGGAAATCTATAGATAGATAGATAGATAGATAGATAGATAGTGAAATGTGAATATGTCACTTTTAAGTCCAAAGTGACTGTCTATCTATCTCTGCTAAAACTAACCTCTGTTTTTTCAAATATTTCTTCTTTCTGAATCACTTCATTTTCGAGTGGTTAAAGAGCGACGGGTTACAGAGCTCTGTTTCAGGCCCTGCTTTAGATTGTTATTTTGAAGGCTGCCACAAGATGGTGTACATCAGTAATAAAGAAAAATAGCATACAGTAAGTACAGGAGTTCACCTCAGTAACATTTTTTTGAAAGATATTCACACATTTATTTTTTGTATATATTTGCTGTTAGTGTCTGGAATAATTATCTTGATTTTATTTATTTATTTATTTTTTATTCTTTTTGGATGGGTTGAGGAACGGCAACATAACAGATCTGTGGCCAACAATGAAATTCCACCTAATTTGAAACAAATGTGTTACGATTATTACTATAAAAACAATCCAAATTTCTCTTTTAATGGGGTACATGTACTTTCTTGCTCATTTATATGGATTTACCTATTGAGGGGTTTTTTTCCCCTCGTGTTTTCACTGAAAACAGGAAGCTATATGGCGAGCCAGTGAACCAGCAGGAGGGTGTGTAACTACCCATGACAGAGAGCAGAGATACTTGGCCGACCCTAAATGAGCAGAAACTGGCAAAACAGGGACAGTTTATTTTAGCCATAATGATCCTATCCATAATGCACACTGCTGCAGTTCCCCTTGAGTACCAGAGTTTGTTGTAGCGTAATGAGAGAATAAACTGTACGTGTCAGATCCGTGAGGATTATTAATCAATAACGCTGCTTCAGAACGCAGAGAAAGGAAAATCGCACGCTGTATTAGAGGAAAATCTAAGAAAATAAAGGAACGGTTTAGCAGTAAAGGTCCCAAGGACCTCTACTTTCTTTAAGATGAAAACTTAAAACAATAAAGAAATGCCTCATGTCATATTGACTTATTTGTATTATGAATAATTAAGGCAGTATTTGATTAATGCAACATATTTGCACTGAAAAGCCTATATCTCTTTTAGATTTGAATATCTTCTGTTAAATACAGTTCCATCTTCTCCTTTCTACACATCTAAAACTGTAACAAAACATAATTTGATCTCCCGCTCAGGCTTGCTGCAACATATCGTCTTTGGGCTTTAAGAAATTGTGTTGTCAAAAGTTGAATGACAATACAATTCCACTGACACTCCATGCAGACGCTCTTAATTATCATCTTATCATTTAAGCTAGTAAAACTTCAACCACTTGGGAGTAAGGAACAAAATAGGCATAGCAGGAAAAGTAGCGCCGGGTTTCCATTATGATGTAAACCCTACATCACAATTTACGCACAATATACAAAACTTGTGCAAATCACAAGCAATCGGACCTGGTATTTCGCACATATGTTTTGTTTCCCGGTGTTTAGTCTCACATTTGCAGAGACGTCAACAAACACGGCGAGAAAAGAAAAAGCATGACGCTAGTTTTTTAAGTACGAAGAATTTACTTCAGATATCCTTATGTATAAATCTGTTTGTATTAATATACAATTGAAATTTGGCAGCATATGTGTGAGAGGAGAGCATCAAATACCATCATTTTTTCCTTTTAAACTGTAAGCATTTTTTTATTATTATTTGTGACATTATTGGAATCTCTTAATGCTAAATTGGACGGGGTGACGGCGCTTAGAATCGAGTTGTACATAAATATGTAGCGGTTATCCATATATCCAGGGGTGAAAGTACGCGGGAACGGTCGGGTACTGCGTACCCCTAAAAGATTTAGCGGGGGTAAGCAGTACCTGCAAGAGGGGGGAGCGGCTGTCTGCTGTAAAGAATCGGTGGGTTCACTGTGCAGCCACTAATCAGCCGTGACTGATTAGTTTTTCCAGAACAATCTAAGACACGACTTAATCAGTTAATAAATAGCTTTTTTCCCATTTCATAGCTGTTCGTTCTTTGCTAGAGCAGCCGTGCAATACGTCGATCTCGGCGGTAGGAGACAAACTGAACACCGCCAGGAGGCTGAGACCAGCACGTCCTCCTCTGACTCTTTATCAAAATGTTCGTAACTTTATTAAAGAACAATAAAAAAAAATCAACAAGGTGTTCAC